GGTTTGTTTCAGAATGTTTTGTTATAGGAAGCTGTCCTCAACACACTCTGAATTTATCTATCAGGTCCTCTTTGTCAATTTGATTCATCCAATCAATATGAAGGATAAAATCCCCCACAATTAGTGTAGTAGCTATCTTACAAGCCCCCATCATTTCTTAGAATTTCCACAGTGTAACTACAGAAAGAGCACCTATAACTTACTCTGACAAATGACTTATTTCCTTTGCTTCTTCTTGTCTTTACCTGAACTGATTTTACATCCTGATCCTCCAAATGAAGATCATTTCTCACTATTGTATTGATCTCATCCTTTATTAACACAGCTACCCAACCTCATTTTCTTTTCTTCTCAGCCTTTTGAAATGTCAAATACTCCTTGAATATTCATGTCCCAACCATGATAACTTTTCAACCATGTCTCTTTAATGTCTATTATTTCAAATTTGTTTATTTCGCCTGTGCTATTAATTATCCATTTTGTTACAAATCCTGTGTGAGTACTGATAAACAGCCCTCACATTATGACATTTTACCATTTTCCATTTGTTTTTAACTCTTTCTTACCTTTTTTTAAAAAACCTACTCTGACCTGATTTGTTTGTGAGCTTTTATCTGTACCAATTCCTGTTGCATTCTGGTTATCATTATATGTATTTCTACCCTGCACTGTGGCTCCATCCTTTCTCTTTAACTTTGCAAATCACTTTTCAGGTATTCAACTGTCTGATCTTATTTACTTTGTCTCAATTTTGTCATGCTTAGGTAATAGTCCAGAGATTATTATTTTTATGGTTTTGCTTTTGCATTTAGCCCCTAGTGGCTCATATACTCTCAGTACAGAGAGCAAGAACACTGAAACTGTTGAGCAATTCTAAGTGCTAAAACTCCTCCATTCCTACCTTCTGCATCCCCATACCTGCATTATACCTTTGGGTTGGAAAAGTGAATAAACCTTCAAGATTTCACAAGAAAAGGGAACTTTTTGATAAAATAAAAACTATAACTCAGTTCATAAAAGGTCTTCATAAGTTATAGTGCTAAGTTAGCTATGTTTGCTTCATTTAGTTTCTCACATTCTACAATAAAGTTTTTGTTAAAATATGTGACATTTTGTGGCATAAATCTTTCAGTTAATTACTGAATTACTCTTTTAAATATTAACATTGCTTAATTGTAACACCTGTGATTATTCATTTTGCCTCTGATTATTAATTTAAAAAGATTTCTCACCACAGAAGTTAAACTGACTGGCCTGTGAGTTTATCTTTACACTGTTTTTGAAAAAGAGTGTAACATTTGGAAATATCCACTCCTCTGAACTACCTGAACATTTGGATCGGAAGATTGTGGCCAGAAATTCTTCAATTTCCATTCTTACTTTCCTCAGCTCCTTATCCAAACCCGGTGGCTTATCACATTCATACAAACATATGACCATATGAATTAGGGACAGCAATAAATCATTCAGCCCTTTAAGCCTGCTCTGCCATTCAACAAGATCATGACTGATTTGACGTCAGCCTCAACTCAACATTCCTGCCTACCTCCAATAAACTTTGACTTCCTTGATAGTCAAGAATCTATCAACCTCTGCCTTAAAAAATATCCAATGAACCTGCCTCCTCTACATTCTGAGGAAGACAGCTCCGAGGACTCACAATCCTCTAAGAGAAACAAAAAAAAATTCTTCTCACTTTTGCCTTAAATGGAAGATCCCTTATTTTTAAACTGTATCTTCTAGTTCTCCCACAAGGGGAAGATCCTTTTAACATCCATCTTGTCAAATCCTTCCAGAACTTCAATAATGGTCTCAATGCAATCACTTCTTATTCTTTCAAACTCCAAAGGGTACGGCCCACCGTGTCCAACCTTTCTTCATAAAATAATCCCTCCCACCTGAGGAACCTTCTCTGAACTTCTGCTGATGCATTTATGTCTATTATTACATAATGAGACCAGAACTGTACAATATATTCTAGGCATGGTCTCACTAGTGCTATATTCAATGGCAGTAAAATATCTGTACTTTTATGTCTCATACAGCTTGCAATAAACAGCAACATTCCATTTGCCTTTCTGATCACTTGCTAAACCTGCATACTAACTTTGTGACTCATGTACTTCCACATCATTCCATAACCTAATTAGCTGGTCTAATTAGAACGTTTGCAGATGATACAAAGATTGGTGGAGTTGTGGATAGTGAGGAGGATTGTCAAAGGATATAGCAAGATATAGATCAGTGGGAGGCATGGGCAGAAAAATAGCAAATGGAGTTTAATATGGACAAATGTGAGGTGATGCATTTTGGAAGGTCAAGTACAAGTGGAAATTATACAGCGAATGGCAGAATACTTAGGAGTATTGCTATGCAGAGGGATCTGGATGTGCAGGTCTGCAGATCACTGAAGGTGGCAGCGCAGGTAGATAAGGTAGTAAGAAAGGCCTATAGCCTGCTTGCCTTCATTAGAAGGGGCATTGAGTATAAGGATAGACAAGTTATGCTGCAGCTTTATAGAACTTTAGTTAGGCCACACTTGGAATATTGTGTACAGTTCTGGTCACAACACTAATAGAAGGACGTGGATGCTTTGGAAAGGGTACAGAGAAGGTTTACTAGGATGTTGCCTGATATGGGGCATTTTAGCTATGAAGAAAGGTTGGATAGACTGGGTTTGTTTTCCCTGGAACACAGGAGGTTGAGGGGTAACCTGATAGAAGTTTATAGGATTGTGAATGGCATGGATAGAGTGGAAAGTATGAGGCTTTTTTTCCCAGGCTGAAGGGGTCAATTTCTTGGGGACACAGTTCAAGGTGCGAGGATGGAAGTTTGAAAGAGATGTGCGAGGCAAGTTTTTCAATGTGCGAGGCAAGTTTTTCAGACAAAGGGTGAGTGAGTGCCTGGAACGTGCAGCCAGAGGAGGTGGTGGAAGCAGACACAATAGCAGCATTCAAGAAACACCTGGACAAATACATGAATAGGAAGGAAATAGAGGGATACGGACCCTTGTAAGTGAAGACGGTTTTAATATGGAAGGGCAAAATGTGGCAGCGCAGGTTTGGAGGGCCAAAGGGCCTGTTCCTATGCTGTATTGTTCTGTGTTCTAACTGGATCTGCAATCTTTCTTAATTTAAATAATATGCTGCTTTTCTTATCTTCCTGTCAAAGTGCATATATTCTCATTTTTCCTAAGTTATACACCATTTGGCAAATTTTCACCCACTCACCTAACCTATCTATGTTCCTTTGTTGGTTCCTTACATCCACTTCACAACATACCTTTCTACGTACCTTTTGTCATCAGCAAATTTTGGAATCATACATTCAGTTACTTCATCAAAGTCATTAATATAAACTGATCCCTGTGGTAATCGTCACATCTTGACAAACTGCAATTGACCTATTTATGCTTCCTCTGGCTCCTGTTAGCTAACCAATCCTCTGCCTGTGCTATTATGTTTATCCCCAACACCATGAGCTCTTATTTTGCATAATAACCTTTGATGAGGTACTTATCAAATATCTTCTAAAAATCTAAGTGCAGCAGATCCACAAGTTTCCCCTTATCCACATCGTCTGTTACTTCCTAAAAAAAATTCCAATAATTCAGTCAAACGTAATGCCATGATTGCATTAAAATGTTCTCATGTCCTTCTAGATCCTTCTTAATAGAAGATTCCACCATTTACCTATAACAGATATTAAGTTAACTGGCCTGCAGTTTTCTGCTGTGTCTCTCTTCCCCCCCCCTCCCTCAGAATAAAGGGGTCACATTCACAATATTCCAGTCTGATGAAACTGTTCCAGCATCTGGGGGATTTTGGAAAATTAAAATCAGACATTTACTATTCCAGCAGCCACTTCTCTTAAGACCTAAGCTGAAGTGAATCAGGACCTGTTGAGTTTCCAACCTTGAATTCTGTCCATCACAAAGACTGCCTATATCCACCTCTGTAACATTGCCTGCTTCTGTCCTTACTATAACCCATTGTCCACCAAGATCCTCACAGGTGCCCTTTGTAAATTTCACGTTCGAGCACTATAATGTTTTTCTGGCTGATTTTCCAATTATCACTTTCCATATTCTTTAGGTCTTTAGGTCTTCAATAACTCTGCCACCCTTTCCCAGTTCCAGTTGCCGAGCGCTCCAGTCCTGTGGACCTACAGAAGCCTGTTAAACTTTTAATTCCTTTCACTTTAGCTTCATGCATCTCAGTACGCTATCCATCAATTTTCCATAATTAATGATCACTCTCAGATCTCTCCATTCCATTTTCGAACTTCCTTCAATGTATAGATTTCTCTCTCTGCATTTATTTCCTCCTGTAAAGCTTTATTTCTTTTAACAAACCTGTTCACTTAACCTCCCATTTGTCTTGGCATCCATTTATTTCAACTTTGCCTCTTTGATGCAGCCTCGAATGGATTCCAATATTAAATACATTATACAAATGCAAGTTATTGTCAGGGAGGGGGTGGAGATAAGTAATAGTGTAGAATTTCTAAGAAAAACTTGTACCTCGCGTTAATGTTTGATTGGCGTATGTTGTGCACTATAGAATGAAAGAGCAATTTAACACATTAACATGTCTGAAATAAAGGTGAAAATATGACCAAGACATAGGTTTTTAAATTCCTTGATAACAAAAGTCGTATTCTCCAGGTAGGTTAGAGGCACTAAACTGTGGACCTGACCTGCTTTAATGCTGGATTCAACAGAGGAAATATGTTTTTTCTGTATCAATGACATATTCCACTTTGTAATTAACAAGACAATGCCTCAAACATTAACTTTTAAACTAATTTTGTTACGGTGATTCCTCAGGATAGTTTTATTTCATTAAATAAAACTGGAGTAATTTAGTGTTAAACAATGTTTATAGTAATGAATAAGTGCCTTTTATTTTCACAATGATTGGTTTAAATAACACCTATTATTTTCTTGACAGAACATAATGTCTGAAGTCAAACATATCTCCCCTCTATTATTTGGAATTATGTGCACCTTGTTATCATGTGGGATTCTTCTAGCCCTTTTCTTCCTTATCTTCACCATCAAATTCAAAAATAACAGGTATTATCCATAAAACAATGCATTTGTATCACTGCTTTAAACTTATGAAGTCTCATTCTCTCCCAGCCCCATCTTAGCCAATTTATTATGTAAAAAGGCTAATTGGCAGTGAATTATATTGATCAGGAAAAGTTCAGATTCAGTCGCTGGTCTGTGAAGCGATCAATTAACCTCTGAGTCCTTAGGTTAGCAAGTTCACCAGGATCTTTGTAACCTGTTTAAAGGTGGCATCAAACACCCAGAGTGTTTGATTTACTTATACTGACTGTTAGTACATAACGATTAATCAGAGGTATCAGAGATTTTGTGTCCATACTTCCAATGAAATTATCCCTTAATGAGAGTTTCCACCATGAGAAGAAGGCAAAAAACAGAAGAAAAGTCAAAGACAGAAACAAGGTAGAAAGATAAACAGAATTACAGTTGAGCGCAAAAGAAATTGAAACTGAAGGGGAAGAAGTGGGTTTAAACTTTTTCAGTCAACATTATTACAAACATGTTAATATGTCATAATCTTAGATTCAGGGATTGTATCTGAACAACTGAACTGAGGAGGAATTTTTTCTACCAAAGAGTAATGAATCTGTGGAATTTTTTACTGCAGAGGGTTATTGAGGAGGCTGGGTCATTAAGTATTTTTTAAATTGATTGATGGGATGTTATCATCGCCGGCTAGACCAGCATTTATTGCCCATTCCTAATTGCCTAGAAGACATTGCTGTGGGTCTGGAGTCGCATGTAGAGCAGACCAGGTAAGGATGGCAGTTTCCTTTCTTAAAGGATGTTAGTGAACCAAATGGGATTTTCCAACAATTTGCAATAGATTCATGGTCGTCATTCAACTCTTAATTCCAGATGTTTATCTATTGAATTTAAATTCCACTATCTGCCATGGCAGGATTCAAACACGGGTACTCAGAACATCATGTGAGTCTCTGGATTAATAGTCCAACGATAATACCAATATGCCATCACCTCCCCTTAAGTATACATCAATAAATATACGCCAGGCTGAGATAGACAGATTTTTAATCATAAAGGAATCAAGGATTATGGGGAAAAGACAGAGAAGTAGTGCATGGATTATTAGATTATCCATTATCTCCCTGAATGGTGGAGCAGACTCGAGGGGCTAAATGGCCTTCACTGCTTGTATGTCTCATGCTTTTTTTCCTGTTGAATTATAATTTTATGCTTAACATGAGCAGCTGAGATTTTTTTCCAATGGGACTTGACCTGAAAATATTTCAGAACCATTTTGTCACATAATTTGTTCAATTTTATTAAGAATTCCATTTGCTTTCAGATAGGAATTGTATGTGACTAAAGTAAATAACATAATTAAGTGGGTTTTTACATCTACTAATAGCTGCCGCCCACCATGGACATTAGACATCACTTCTTTGAAACTCTGAAGAAGGGTGATACATTGTATTCCACTTGCAAATGGCATCAGGCATGAAAGCATGACAACTAGATAAAGCAGGGCCCCACTGAGGCACCAATTCTTTGCAGGGGAAAGCATTATTTAGCTGCAAGTGAAAGTTCAGTTTTCTTTTACCAAATGAACCCAATGTTAGCCAATTTAGATTTAAAATTGCTCATCCTCTGACTAGCACTTTTAAATTGGGTGCTGTTTTTTTCCATTATTGTGCCTCGGAAATAAGCAGTACGAACCCAAGAAAAAAAGATTACTCTTAATGGAAAACTCTCACAGGGTTGAGACTACTAGATACGTCAATAGAATAGAGTGGTATGAACAACATTATATGAATATGACCTGGGCTGACATGTAACAAATATTTTAAAAAGGACACAGGGTGGGGGGAAACATTTTTTAATTGTTCTTTTTATTCTACTAATTTCTATCTCAAATCTCTTCCACTACCATCTCTGTATTCTTTTGTTCCTTACTTTTTTTCCCAAATATGATTTGTTCAGAATTAAGATAAAACTCTTCCTTTAAAAATTGAAAAAAAATCCAACTACTGTATAATTTTAAAAGCTTGGTTTGATACAAAATTCAGTAGTCTTACCCACTTACATCAACAAAATCTTAGTATAGAACTAATGTCATATTTAACATAATGTATTTTTAAATGGCTTTTTTAATATAAGAAATTAAACAGTAAATGAATGAAAACTTTGCATTTCTGATATTGTAATATTATTTTCTGTTATTTTTCTATTATGTCTGCTTATTTCATCACATCATAGACTGTAGAATGATCTCCAATTTGTTATCAATAAATGGGTAGGACCACATAAAATTTGTTACATAAAATTCAGAAGTTGCGACTCCAACTTTTAAAGAATAATGGTGACCATGGAAAATACAAAATACAATGTGTGTGTAATACTGATCATTGTAGTTAGTTTGTACTTTCACCATTGGGTAGAAAACCAACTATAATAGAGTGAAATAGGTCTGAAGGAAACCATCGAAAAATATCCAACCTTGCTAACCTTGTATTTTTTGCCGATCCAATAAATACTTCTAATACTCATATTAGTATAATATAAATTATATTTACATACAATATATAATAGAAAATATTATAGAATTTACAATAATATATTATTATATAATAATTGTTATTAATTTCCTTTTGAAAGCAATTATTGCTTGTTATTGTCTGCCCTTACTTCCTATTATTATGTTTTCACCGTCCTTTCAGAATAACTCCCTGTGTTTCTTTCCTCAACTCACCTCTGGTTCTTTTGTCAATTACTTTAATTTGGTGGCCTCCACTGATCATTCTGCCACTGAAAAGAATTCTCCTGCTTTACTGTTAAAGTACTTAATAATTTTGAGTCCCTCTACTAACCTCCTTTTAAACTGCTGTGCTATAAGGAGAAGACTTAAAGGTGCCTAGAATGGGTACAGTACTTGAAATGGGATCTGACCAGTGCTTTATAAAGGTTTGAAATAATTTTGTTGCTTTTGTACTCTGTATCTTTATTTATAAATTCAAAAGCAGCATGTCCAGCAAGCTGAGAAGGCTGTTCAAAGCCCTGAGTTAAGTATGCCCCTTTGAAATTATATCAATTGTATTTCGATCCTCATTCTTCCTATAAAATGAATTACTTTGTATGACTTTGTCTTAAGTTTCATTAGACTCATATCTGCACTTTTCACCAGTCTGTTCTCCTGAAGTCTGTGACTATCCTCATCATGATTTATTAAATTTCTGTTTTGTACCATCTGCAAAATTTGAAGTTATGACCTATGTATAAAGTCCAGGTCATTAATATATCTCACAAATAACAATGTTGTGAGCAAAGTCGCAGTTTATACTTTAAATTTGTTCCTATAACCTGCCAGTAGAATTATGGACAAAGAAAGCCTGCTTTGGGAATTTGTTCTTTAGATTAAGGAAACTAGACTTTTATTGTGCAAACTGATGGGGACCTAAAGATATGGCATGTCTTCTAAAATCCAAACGAGGTGAGCTCCAGTGTAAATGTGGCTCAGAGGTTACAGGATAACTGATCTGCACCAGTCTTGTATAAAATTTCAGTCCTATACATGTTAAAAAGTGTTCAATTTCATAAAATATTAATGTTTAAAATTCTGTCTATCATACAAAGATTTCACAAAATCTCTGTTATTGTTAATTATTTCTATTAGGATTGTGAAAATGTCCAGTCCAAACCTCAATATTGTAACAATTATTGGAAGTGTTTTTACTTACGTCAGTGGATACATGTTTGGAATTGTGGAAGAGAAAACTGCTACAATGGAAGTGTCAATTGAATTGATTTTTCAGGTGAGGAAATTTGACAAATTATGAAGTGGTGTATATACTATTAGTCTGAAACCCAGGAATTCCCTGATATTTGATTTGCTTCTATCTTGTTTGTGAATTGGCTTTGTCAGTGCTTAATATAAAGTGATGTATGTGAGTAAGAAAACCACTTGTCATAATTTAATCTGACCTACCAGCCAGTTATAAAGCAACACTGGTAAAATTGCTGTGGTTGGTTCACTTGCTGAGCTGGTTCATTCCAATGAAGCATTGTTGTATTTTCCCACCTATTATTTAAACATTCACAACCAGAGCTACAAATCTACTCAAGAACATTAGACTGGTAATGTTGTTAACTGCTGTGCAAGCTTTCACCATGTATATCATTGTTCCCAATTATTTTAGGAGAACGAGACAAATGATCTTTAATCTATGGGGCATAATATGGAAACACAGCATACAGAAACTTTAATAAAAGATCTCTCATGGGAAGTAAGGGATATCCTGGATGTGAAGTATGGTATCAAGTTATACAATTTATAATCATTCAATCAAATTGTTTTGATGACTTTCTTTGAGAGTTAATATTTTAAGATTTGAATCCCACACAGATAATGGTACTTAATCTGATTTTTCAGAGGAGCATTCTGTGATTTAATAGAGAACACATTGATATAGTACTATATTTTAGGTGAATGAAATAAATGGCTGCAGGATGTCCAAAGTTCGACTGAACATTAAAGGGTATCATCATCTGCAATCAGTTGGCAATGAGTATGATTGTCCACCTGGTCATGGGTTTTGTGGCTGCTGAGCCCCAATCTAAAGCCGCATCTCTGACCGCACATTTGGCAGGTGTTTCCAGGAGGTGGAATTAGACCTTGACTTTGAGATCATTGGTATTCCTTTCTCTGGTTCCTGTTTCCATACTTCCTCTTGCTGTTGGGATACTCTCAAAGGATTGTGTCCCTTCATACAGGGGTTTCCTCCAAGTCAGTTTCTTCTGAAAAAGGGTCTCCCACCTGTTGACCTCTATGTTGCATTTCTTGAGGGAAGTTTACGTTTCCTTTGTCCTCCTCTTGTTCAAGTGCCTTCCTCGAGCTGGGCGAAGAAGGTTTGCTTTGGCAGTCAGAACTCAGACATCATAAGCACGTGGCTGGTCCAGTGGAGTTAGTTTTAGATGATCATGGGCTCAATGCTGGTGCTGTTAGCTGCTTTAAGGAAGCTGATGATAGCACGCTTCTCCCTCCCAACTGACATGGAGAATCTGTCACAAACAACATTGATGGCACTTCTCAAGGGCCTTGAGGTGGCATCCATATATAGTCCAAGTTTTGGAGCCATATAGACGAGTGAGAAGGATGACTGCATTACACACAAGGATCCTGGTATCAGCATGAATGTCAAAGTCTTCAAGAAATCACATCCTTGGATGCCTGAAGGTGGCACTTGCAGATTGGACACAATCTTGAATTTCCACATCAGTGTCAACCTTAGATGAGTGGTAGCTTCCCACGTAGGGAAATGTTCCATGTTTGGGAGGATTTCTCCTTTGATCTTAATGGAGGAATGGACCAGACCTGACCCAAAATGGGTTGGTAAAGGACTTGTGTCTTTTTGAGGTTTGTTAAAGGGTATTCAACATTTTTAAAAGAAAGGATGTTAGGAAGTGATACGTAGTCCACCAGATGTGGTCTCACAGAGGTCCTGCGCAGCCCAAATAAGACGTACCTACTTTTATATTCCATTCCTCTTATTATAAAGGCAAATGGAGCATTGTCAATCAATTGCAGTACCTGCATACTCACTGTACAAGGATATCAGGTAACCTCTGTATCATTGAGTTCTGCAACTTCTCTTCATTTAAATGCATACCAGTTTTCATTTCATCCTGCCGAGGTGGAGGAGTCCATATTTCTCACACTCCACCAGGCAATTTTTTGCCAACTCACTTAACCTATCTGTGCCCTTAGCAAACTCTCCAACTCCTCTTGACAATTTTTTTTATTCACTCATGGGAGTCACTGGCTGGTCAGAACTTATTGCCTTTCCCTCGCTGCCCTTGAACTGAATAGTGTTTTTAGGCCATTTCAGAGGGCAGTTGAGAGTCAACCATGTTGTTGTGGGTCTGGAGTCACATGCAGGCCAGACTGGTAAGGATGAGCAGATTTCCTTCCCTGAAGGACATTAGTGAACTATATGTATTTTTTTCAACAATCAGCAATGGTCTGTGGTCATCAGTAGATTCTTGATTCCAGATTTTTAAAAAAATTGAATTCAAATTCCACCATCTGCCCTGGCAGGCTTTGAACCTGAATCCCAAAAACATTAGCTGAATTTCTGGATTAATAGTCTAGCCACAATACCACTAGGCTATTGCCTACTTACTCTCTAATCTATCTTGGTGTCATTGGTAAATTTAGTTTCCATGCATTTAGTCCCTTCATCCAAGGCATTGATACAAATTGTAAACCATTGAGGCTCCAGCATTGATCCCTGTGGGGATTCACTAGTAACATCTTACCAACCTGAAAAAGATCCAGTTATCCCTACTTTCTGCTTCCTGTTAGCTAAATAATTCTTTCTCCATGCAGAGGTGTAACCCTTAAACCATTAGCTCTTCTTTTCTGTAGTGATCTTTGCTATGGCACCTTATCAAATACCTTTTGAAAATGCAAGTGTATTACAGCAATAGGGTCTCCTTTACCCATCTTATTTGCTAATTCCTCAAAGAACTCAAATATTTAGTTAAAGACTATTTCCCTTTCACAAACCCACATTGTCACTGCCTGATTCACAATGATTTTCTGAAGTACCCTAATACAACTTTCTTAATAACAAATTCTAGAAATTTCTTTATATCAGATTGTAGACCAACTGACGTGGAGTTTCCTATCTTCTGCTGTCTCCTTTCACAAATAAAGGTGTTACATTATCTAATTTCCAATTCATTAGGACCTTCCTGGAATCTGCGGAAATAGAAAGTAGTGGCAGGAACAGGCCATTCAGCTCTTTGAGCCTTGTTTACCATTCAGTATGATCATGGCTGATCATCCAACTCAGAACTCTTAATAGAACACTGAAAACTGTATATGCTGGAGATCTAAAACAAGCAAAATCAGAAATTGCTGGAGAAATTCAGTAGGTCGGGCAGCATTTATGAAGAGAAAACAAAGTTAACATTTCGAGTCCAGTGACCGTTCTTCAGAATCAGTATGTCTCCCCCTTTGGGGAGACTCAAACGGGAACAGCTTAAAAAAAATGAGGTTTTCCTTTTCAGACTGAGAAGTGATTTTTCTTTCTTTGATAGTTGTTAGTCTGTTGAATTTTCTTCTTCAGAATAAATTAAGATACCAGACTCAGAGTTAAGTGGAATTTTTTATAGACTTGGAAGTTAAGGGTTATGAGAGGGCAGACAGGAACTTGGAGTTGAGGCCAGAACCAGATTAGGCACGATCTTATTGAATATTGGAGCAGCCACAATAGGCCAAATGGCCCATTCTTTTTCCTTGGTCTTGGTATTATGCTGGTAAATCTTCCCTACACTTGCACTGAAGACTTGACATACTTCCTAAAGAGTGATACTCAAAATTGAATATAATACACCAGGTGAGGTTTAACTTGTGATTTAATTTACAAGAAAAAAAACTTATTTTTGTATTTGTGTGTCTCCATTTATAAAGCCAAGGATCATGAATCTTTTAAAATAGCTTTTATCTGTTTGTTCTGCCATGTTTAAAGATTTGTCTGTGCAAAATCTCAAGGTTCTCCGCTTCTGTAACATTTTAAAGATTGTAGCAGTTTAGTTTATATTTGCTTCTCCTCATTCTTCCCCACAAAATGCATCACAAAACATATTCCTTTTCACTCAATTTCATCAGCCATTTCACCTTATGTATGACTGGTCACTCATACACTGAAATGCACTGGACAACTTATCCATGGAACATAAAACCGGTAATCAGCCCCAGTCATAGAACAGGATTTGGAATATAATTTAAAAAGTAATAGAGTGGTAGGCACTAACAAACTAATCAGTTCCCAGATCGGAAAGCAGCAACGAATTAACAAAGCACAGGTCACCAGTAAATTATTAATGAAGCAGTGGACATTTCAGCGACTTGAAAATTCAAAAGCTAGTAGCACCAAATTATTTTGCAGGATCTAAGCCAAAAGGTACGCAGGGTTTTGTATTTCAAGGATTTTGTTTGAATGGTAGGAGGTAAAGTTGGACAGCACTTCTCAATTGAATCAAGGATGAGGAATTTTATTTTTTGTGACCATACAAAACGACAAAGGATGAACTGCAGTGAAGAATGGATAGCTATGCAGATGTGCAGAGAATGGAAACCCTGTGTAGGCACATGGCAATTTTGGCAGGCATTTTAGCTAAAAAGATGTATGAAGAAATGAAGGAGAGGAGTGCGTACGATCCGGAGACCCAAGGAACAGTTATTCCAGTGTCTGTAAGTGGAATATTTTTGACTGGCTATTACTGGGGCAACAGTCAAGGACAGCTGACTGTGTATTCCTGAGAATATAAGTAGCAATCAGGCTGGACAGCATCAGACAGCTAAAGGCCAGTTAGTCTGATGTCTGTCACAGGGAAATTTCTAGAATCTATTATTAAGATGTGTGCAGCAGGTTACCTAGAATCATAATGTGATTGGGCAGAGTCAGGACACTTCAGTTTAACTGACTTATTAGAGTTCTTTGAGTGATTAACAAACAAGGTGGATAAAGGCAAACGTGTAAATGAACTATACTTGCTTTTGATAAGGAGCCATCTCAAAGGTTATTGCACGAGATAATCCGAAATGACATTTTCTGAGTTGACATTCTTTCAGTGGGTACAAGGGTGGAGCACTTGAGAACCCAATATTAGCTGAAATTTTCAGGATTGGAAGCAGGGAATTTTGGGTGAAAAGAACAAGGTGCGCAGAGTGGTAAACTCCTGTATGATCACACTTTTTGAAATTTTGGGGTGCAAGTTCGACATTCAAAAAAATGCAATGATTTTAAAACAGTTATAGACTAGATTCTACATTTAGTGTATAGGTATAGTTGCCATCATCCTACCAGACCATTGGGCTGTTCTCTCATTCAAGAGAGAGAGAGAGAAAGACAGCTGATTGTGGTTTAACCTGAGGGCCAGCTCACCTCCCGCAAGAGTTTGCCTTACAATTAGGACATAATGTTGTTTCTATGATGTAGTTTGGAATCAGACATGCTCTTTTCAGTAAATTACATTTTCATATTGGCCATTGGCTAGTGCAACATCACCATCTAGTGAACGGATTGCTGTAATTGCAACATGATCATATGCTGACATTTTCTCATTATAAAATGTTGACCTGTTGTTATCAATGTTCCATCATCACAAAAGTTTAGATTTTAAAAAATGACAAAACATATACTAGGATTTGTGGCCAGAAAGTGCATACCATATACCAAATATTTGGATATATAAATTGAAGAGGTTTACAAATAACAGGAGTTTTGAAAAGATGAAATATGTTAACTTATTTATGTACATGTATTTAATACATTTTAAAAAATGGTGGGTAGAAAGAATATGGGTGATCCAACAATGCACGGACACCAATGATAAGTGTGCCATGAAGACAATGATGGTCCAATACCCAAGGGGCCACCCTGCTGACAGCCAAGCATGCAGCATAACTCATCCACAACAGGGAGTCTATCAATGTTTGCTGCAGAGAATTCTTTGAAGAACTCCTCAACTGAGACTCTTGTCTTTTAATTGAAAGCCCTCAATTCCAATCCTCAGTACAATGTTCAGCTCTGTCACTGCAGCACCCTAGTCTGGAACAATTTTGTAAAATCCATTCGACAACTGAAAAACAACAAGGTCTCTGGACCAGATGGCAGGGATGTCTGGCTGCACAACCTGACATTCCTCATCTGGAAATGGAGTTTATATCAGTGGATCTCGGGGATGCCGTGATCAAGACTATATTTAAAGTCCAGATTGTGGTAACCACAGAGAGGTTACCTTGCTGCCTTACACAAGGTATTTTTTGTTTTGTATTTTCCTATCTTTTCTCCTTTTCTTTTTTAACCAGTTCCTACATTTTCATGTCTCCTACCTGCTTGCCTCACCTCTTCCCATTTTTTGTATAAAACACAATAAACAAACCCCTTTTTTTTATTCTTTCATGGAAAATGAGCTCTCAGTACCTTCTCCCATTCACCACTGATAGCTCTCTCCCATTCCCACATTCTCCACCTTCTATCCAACTTCCATCCTATCACCAGTGCCAGTTTAAAGTTTTTGTAAATCTTTCATTTCCCTGCAGTTAAAGTTTAATCTCCACTGTTTTACTAGCACCAAGATGGGAAAGCTAGTGTTTTAAGGTTTACATTCACGCAGTACTTTTTCCCTATCTTCCTTAGCAACAGAATATACACAGCCTAGGGACAGCAAGGACAACATGCCAATATATCACAGTGTGGAGCTGGAGGAATACAGTAGGCCAGGCAGCATCAGAGGAGCAGGAAAGTTGACGTTTAGGGTCAGGACCCTTCTTCAGAGTCCCGATCTGAAACGTCAGCTTTCCTGCTCCTCTGATGCTGCCTGG